CCTGGGCCGATTTACTTTTTTGTTTTGGGGTCCCCAGAGGCCAAAAACACCATCCGTTCAAATTCATATATATACATATACAGGTTGCGGCATAAAAACCAATCTATTTATTTTCTTCATCGCCGTTTAGTGACAGACCGTCTCAGGGTGATGGGAGTAGGCTCGTTGGAAAGCCTATACGATGCAATTTTTTGTAGTCATAGAGCAGTGGTTGTATGAGCTACATGCGGTTGTTATTGTTCATTATAATTAAACCGCACATTTTCGATTGAAAGTGCTTACAAAAGTCAAAGGGCGACGTTGAAGCACTTTAAATAAAAAATATGCAATGTAATTACAACAGATGAGAGGAAAAATTGAGGGTTTTGGTATAAAAGAGGTTTAATTTATGAGAGAAAAAATTAGTACGTGTTGTTATGAGAGAGTTTTCAACTTGACTGAACAGTTATCGAGTCGTTTAAAAAAAGTAATGATTCAGTTATTGCAACTCAGAAGCAGTTTCATGCTTTTATTTTATTAGGTCGACATGGAGAGGATCTGTCGTGATTATCAGTATGGATAATTAACTAAATGAAACAGATTATTTTTCTAATTAATCTTTAGGGATGGAAATTGACCTCAAAATTGGTGTAACTGAGCGGTCAGACATTTTCAAAGCAGCCGCTTGTTTTGGACGGGCCTACGAAAACTGTTTTCTATAGCAGCACAAATTCTACCCGAATGTTAGTTGTCTGGCGTCCGACCTGACTTTGGATGGCCTGTCAGATTTCTTTTCAACTCAAAAGCCGTTATTCTAAAGTTAGTAGCTCACCGCATGTCTCCATGTCCCCTTAATCGAAAGAGTACAAGAAACTGCCACTGAGTTGCAATGAATGAATTGAATCCTTTTTAAAAATGACTCCATAACAACTGCACGTGGCTCAGGCGACCACTGCTCTATGACTACGAAAAAATGGCATTGTGTAGGCTTTCCAACAAGCCTACTCTCACCACTCTCAGACGACCTGTCGCTAAACAGTGCTCTTCAGAAAACAGATCGGTTTTTTCGCCACACCCTGTATATATAAAAACATCGATCACTGATGTCACACTAAGTGAGAGAGTTTATGTGTACTACACTATGTAGGGCCTACGTGAAAGCACAATCACCATGTCGCCAGCGGCTCTCGTAACATTGGCGTGGCAGTAAATATGAATTTACATTGGATGACCGGCATTCGTATAATCAACACTATACTGTACCGTAATATACAACTTGTACTAATATGTCAATCTCAATACTGGTATGTTAAGGGTTTATAAAAAAAAATACTTGCAAGATGTTTGATAAATTGGGTCTGTTGATGTAAAAACCCCAGAAAGGTACCTCTTTTTTGGGGGGGGGGGGGGGGTCACAGATAATATACAGGTTTTGCAGGAAGAGTATGCAGATGCATCCTACACCAAATTCATCGGTCTCTTGACTTCCATTCTCGACCTATCTTGTCCATACAAGACATCCAGAAGAAAGCCTTCTAATCCAAAAGCTGTCCTTTACGACGATGAAGTAAATGAATATAAAAGGGCCTTCACCGAAGCAAGGGAAAAGTTCATATTGACTGGTAGACTAGATGAGAAAGTTGACTCCGCTCAGAAGAAAAAAATATACGACCTCAAGCTTAGGACCCTTAGAAGAAAAGAAAATGAGAAGCTCATCTCCAAATCGTCAAACAAAAATAAAGCTATTTGGTCAATAATCAACTCAGAAATAAATTCATCAAATAGATCCAAGGATACTATATGGTCTCTGAAAAGGGCCAACGACACAGTCAACAGCATTTATATAATAGCAGAACTTTTCAACACACACTTTGCCACTATTGCTGATGAAACTCTGCGTAACAAAAATCCGACTAAAACATTAACAGCCAGCAATATTCCCATCGCCTTAAAAGAACCACTTTAGACATTTGCTCCAACAACCTTGGAAGAAATTAGCAAAATTATTGGAGCAACTAAAGTGTCTTCTTCAGCAGGAGTGGATGACATCTCATCAAGAGTCATGAAATTCTGCGAGAAGGAACTTCTCACTCCCTTAGCTGCCCTGATCAACAAATCACTAGCTCAAGGTGTGTTTCCATCAAAGATGAAAATCTCTAAAGTCTACCCACTCCACAAAAAAGGAAATAAGGATGAAATCAAGAACTATAGGCCGATTTCACTCGTCTCTACATTCTCTAAAGTCTTGGAGAGAGTTGTGTTGAATAGACTTCGGGATCATCTTCATCAAAATGACATCAAGCTCAGTGAGCAGCATGGATTCATCCCAGGTCGCTCAACAGTGACTGCTCTTGGGGAAATTATTGAGCACATTATTGACAACTTGGATGCAGGGAACACAATCATTAGCACCTACCTTGACCTAAGCAAAGCATTCGACTGCCTTGACCACAGCTTGATACTGAGCAAGCTGGAACTTCTCGGCATTGCAGGAACAGCAATCAACTGGTTTTCAAGCTACTTAAGCGACCGAGCACAGATCGTGGAGTTGAGACAAACCATCGATGGAACAACAACAGCTGTTCAATCCAAACCGCTAAAAATAAATAGGGGTGTTCCACAAGGCTCAGTCTTGGGACCGGTGCTTTTTGCCTTGTTTATGGCTGATTTCCCAAGCCATGTTAATGCGTTCTGTAAAGCAGTAATGTTTGCTGGCGACACCGTCCTGTTGACCTGCAAGAAAACAGCGGAAGAATTAGAAGTGGATAGTTTCATCGCCCTAAACCTGGCTCAGGACTACTGTGAAAACAATGATTTGGTCTTCAACGAAGATAAAACTACTCAGCTCATCATAGGAAGACTACAAAATCAAGTCTCTGGCCCTCCTAACATCCAAACGTGCACTTTTACCAAGCATTTGGGAGTCCTTTTAGATCAAAAACTTACTTGGAATCAACACGTTGACGCACTCTGCCTGAAACTAAGCTCTGCAAAATTTGCTTTAAGGAGGGTTCGATCCGTCAGTACCTCCGAAACTACACGAACATGCTACCATGCTTTGTTTGAATCCCACCTCAGGTACGGGATCATCTTTTGGGGTGGATCATCACAAGAAAACCTGGAACGAGTTTTGGTGCTCCAGAAAGAAGCAATGCGAATAATGGTCGGTCTCCAACCAAGAGAAAGCTGTAGAGAAACCTTCCGTAGCTTACGCATACTCACCGCAGTCTCGATCTACATCTTGGAGGCAATTTCCTACACAATTAAGGTCTCTTCGTCGAAGCATGTAGCCTTCCACAGTCATGATACGAGGCACAACGAGGACTTCCATCTGCCCTCACACAGAACATCACTCTTCTCGAAGAAACCTTTGTATGCTGGAGCGAGATTCTTCAACCTTCTTCCCCAGATTGTCAAAGAGGGCTCACCTACAACGTTGAGGAGGCGAATTTGGAATTGGCTGGCTGACTACCCAATCTACAGCCTTGAGGAGTTCACGGCCCGTGCAAGACCCCATCTACGATTGGACTAAAAATCTTATCATGTAAACAAAACAAAGAAAAAAATATATATATTGTATTGACACCATTCTGTGCTTGATGCTCACGAATAAAGTATTCTGTATTCTGTATTCTGTACAGGGGTGGCCCTGTTTATATGCATTGTTTACCTAATTCTTTTTATTCTTTTAATCAATATTTAACAGAGGGATGTAATTAAATCGTTGTTTAAATATAATTCTCAACCTTTGAATGTATAAACAAAGTTTATTTGTAAATGAAGCACTTAATCATTCATTCATTCATACTAAGCTATTCAGATTTCACTAAAACAAACACTTTATTACATTCCCTACAGCTTTAAACCTAGGTAATCCTTAAACCGATATTTAAACAGGGAAATGCAACACGTTTATTCTGTGTGGGTGTGATTGTTTTGGGCCTTTTTTAATTACGGTACGTGTAGACCAAGTTGCAAGCTTTAAAAGATTCTTTTACAAAGAAACATGTACAGTATGTTGATTGAACTGATGAATAATCATGTGACTATTTGACAGGAGTCAAGTAAAAACCTCAGTCCTAAATGTGGATTATATTTTGTTCTACATCTCTTATAGTAATTAAAGCTGCAGTAGTAGAACAATGTTAATTTTGAGATTCAATCAAACCCAGCGGCGTCATTTCACCAAATCCTAGGGGGGGGGGGCAAACACCGTGGGGGGGGTATGAGAGGTATAGAATACCCCCCAGAAAACGGGGGGGGGGGGGGTCCGGGGGTCCTCCCCCAGAAAATGTTGCAGTTTTGAAACAAAAAAAAGAGGGGTTTAAGCTTATTTTAAATTGTCAAAAGCACATTGAATAAAAACAAAATTATGAGTTCAGTTAATTTAATTTCAGGCAGAAAATTAATGGAACTAACAATTATTGACAACAGACAGAAACGTAATAATATGTTGGTAACTTATCTATCAATCAATAGTTCCATGGTGTATTAATATTATTTTTGTTACTAGATTTATGACCAATTTCTCTTGTACAACATTTAGACCTATAGCAATGAATACGGTTGTATTCATAGCCTATAGCTTATAACAGTTTAATTTGGTTTTTAAATAAAACAGAAGTATTTAAGTATTTAAATGCAAATCAAATTTTATTATCAATAAAATAATTTGACACAATTAATTTTAATGTGCTACTGAACCACTAAAAAAATAATATTTTTGTTTCAAATTACTGTAGAAGAATAGGCAGATTTTGGTCTGCCATGCTTTTCAGGATTTGACAGCAGAAAATATTTGTATATATTAGCTAGTATAGCATATTTTTTTCTCTAGCCCAGGAACCAGGGGGGGCAAGTGCCCCCCCTGCCTCCCCCCCCCCAATGGCCCCTGATCAAACCTTTTTTGTTATAGAGGTGACAAATCGCACAACCAACATGAAAATAGTTTACCCTGATTTCATATAGTAAAATGATGAAAGGTAAAATCAAACAAAAGATGTATCAACAAACAACTCTTTAGTGAGAAAATAGCAATATAAATTTTAACATACATTACATTAACAATTTCTCTAATTGTTCAGGAATATAAGCTGGAAAACAATCAAGTCTTAGAAGTGATGTTATAGGGGCTATTTAACATAAAAATCATGACAAAACATTATTTTTGTTGTCATGTACTTCAAAAGTAACAAAACCTTGGAAGAGAAATGTTAAGTTAATGTCGTCTTGAACAGTAAGGTTTTCCATATATTATGTTGACAAATGTCTTTACACAACACAAAGTAAAATTTAACTTCACAACCCTTTTAAACTTACTATGAAATAAATTACTTCTAAATAGTCATAAAGCATTTAATTAACCTTCTCACATAAGTTGAAAAAAGTACATTGCAGGTAAATGTGTAATTGAGTAAAAAATTGAAACTTGTTGTATAAAAGATGTTATTGCCACAATTTAACCTACATTTATATAATGACTAATTAATACTATAACAGGTAACATAAGGCAACAGTCTTAATACAACATCACATTTCTTGGCTTATTCTAGGTATTAAGTAAAGGCAAATGACTTTGCATAAACAAATGTATTTTATTTACAGTATTGTAAGCACAAACCTAGTTCAACTAAAGACTAGGTTTTTATACAAATAAATCACGGCTGTGCGAATAGTTTGAAAAACAAATCAAATCCGAAATCTTTTTAGGGATTTGATTCGGGTTCGAGAGCGAATTAACTGTTTCTAACAGTATTCGGATTCGGTATCGATATTCAAATTTACCGGAAAGAGAACTGGGTTCGGATTCGATATTCCAATTTACCGGAAAGAGATCTGAGTTGGGATTCGAAATATTGGGTCCAGCATTCGAAGATACAAAACAAAAGCACTAAAGCACCCAGCTGACGACTAACCCAGCAAAATGCATTTTCCTTCAGTAGATTGTATATCATACATCGCACTGGTAGTTTTATAAGTGGAGTTTGAGTCTTGAGTGACTTGGTATTACGACAACGGGAACGGGACAGCATCAGCATCACTCATCAGTATGACAAAAATGAACACTAGCAGACTACCATAACTAAATAAATAAATTTATAATTGTTATACGTTAAACTGAGATTTTTTATTTGGCCTATGTTTTAGAATAAAAGTGTTACTCCTACTCTATAAATCTAATTTATAGTTCTGATTTCATGATGCACTTCTGATTGATGACCTTTGTATCTATTTTATTATTTTGTTTATGCCTTATTTGTTAATGTACTGTAATTTATCTTTTACTTGTGTTTTTGCAGCATGTAATCAACTTTATTGACATATCCAAATGCATGTACATGCCTAATGGAATAAATATTGATTCTTGATTAAATGGAAAATATGACATACCGGTAAAGATAGCCACATTCAAGTAGGCCTCTAGGCCTAGTGTAAAAAAAAACTTTCCCGGTAATTACCCAGACAAGCGTTATCACCTTCAATCTTTTTCATATTTTAATAGGCCTATGAAGTTCTTCAGGGTCTCCACAAATAAAAGTTAAGTTAGTTTGTCTTTAGCTTGTTTGTTTTTGAATTTATAGATGTAAGGTAGGATATTGCCTAAGTTGCAATGGGTTAAAATTATAGTATAACTTAGTGTTATCAAAATATTATATATATATAATATTTTGATGTATCAGAAACTTGATTGTATTTATTGTATTTTGATGATTATTTTGTAATGTACGGTATATGACGTGTCCTATTTCTTTGTAAAAAGATCAATGGAATAAATGATTCTTATTCTTATTCTTATGATTTAGGCCTAGGTCGCATTTGAACTCTATCTTAGCTCTCAGTAAACTTAACCTCACAATGAGAGTTGTTAACTTGTAATGGTCATACGGACTTAGGCTTATGTAGAGGAATAACACTGAAGTGTATAGGCTGGGCCTATGTTTTAGACTACACAAATTGGTACCCTAGTCCATCATTTTTGGCGAGTAACTTAGGCCTAGGTGGTAGGCCTAACTTATGTCTAATTGTTTAGTTTCAAAACGTCAAATAGATTTGAGCATATTCAACTCAGAACTGGTTTAAAAATTGGGATTCGATAACGTTTGTAAATTTGAAATTCGGATTCGATAATGGCTGTAAATTTGAGATTCGGATTTGACCCGGATTCAACTCGGGACTAATTAAAATATTCGGGTTCGATCTGGATTCAATAAAATCTGTACAGCTATGGTTCAGATTTCGACCCAAAATTTCTGGATTCGCACAGTCCTGAAATAATTATCTAAGTTTTATAAAGCTAGGCCAGCTTATTATAACTTGTTTAATTCAAATTATTAATTACTTTTCTTTGATTTATTTAATTACATTGTAATATTATGCAGCAATTTTCAAAATGGCAAACCCTATTGTGTTGTAAATTTTGATTTTTATTCTTATTTTCATTAGCATTGCATGTAAATATTCAAGGAATTAAACGCAAATATTAATTACCTTTAATTGTGTCCATACGAGCACGGGTAAACAAAAAAATTATAATTATAAAAATGTACGATTATAATATACAGTGTCCCACAAAGAAGTTGCTATTTTTGAATTAATATACCGGATCTATCGAAAACGCTACAAGCTTAAAACTCTACAACGCTAACAAAAGTAAATGCAAATGTAAAAACGTTAATTAATTAATCACTGTCTCTTAAATTAGTTTGACTCTGATAAGTTGCGTAGCGTTGTAAGAAACCAAGAATTAATTTGCAATGGTTTTGCAAATAAAATTACTTTAATAAAAAGAACCATTGTTTTCATTTTCTGCCAGTTTGTTCTGATTGGTTTCTCTTCACGTATGTATTTGTTGCAGCTGTGGAGTTTGTAGCGTGTTCGATACGTCCGGTATATTAAATCAAAAATAGCAACCGCTTTGGGGAACAAGGGATCCTATACATCTGTCTTCAAAAATAAATTCCTTACAGGCAATTTTAAATCTAAAAATTGATCTTACAAATGGCATATTTATGGGCATTTAAAAAGTGTTGATAGTGTCAAGCACTCTAATCAGAAAAGCTGTAAAATTTGTGCACATAAGGAAGAGCTCTTGATTGGTTCGTCATAGGTCTCAATCGGGAGCCATGGGCTGGAGAAAATGACAAAGCACCAGTACCTGTATTAATGTTAGAGAGCAGACAAAATACCCTAAACAAGGTGTACCATTAGTCTTAGGATACAAAAATAAATAATTTGACTCAACAGTATAAAATATTAATATTACTCACAGAAGCTCTCGTCCAATTCAGTGCTTTATGGGTAAAAAGTTATTAAATTGGAAATCTTACCAAAAGGCAAACAAAACTATCCTAAAAAAAACATGTACATAGATTAATGGAGTATCATTGGTCTTGGGATGAATAAATATATAAACAGTAGACTCCCAAAAGCGAAGAAAAGAACTATCGATTGACTATTTTAGTTCCTTTCCTTGCTTGATTTTTCTATGATCAATTTGTTGTGGGTAATAGTGACTTTGGCGGGAGGTGGAGCTTTTGTTACTTGAAGCCTGTTCAGATTTTGTGCAGGAATGGTGGAGGCTTTGGTCTCTGGGATCCTCCTCTGCCTTGAATCTGTTGGTACAAAATTATGTTAGCTATTCGCCATTCGGACAGATATTGTTAAATAAACATACAAACACATACCGGTACATATCTAATCAGTAAAGTAATGTGAATTTTCATGTTCTATCAAAAGATTATTACTGAGCATAACACGCACACAGACATCACTTCAAAAACCACTTATTTAGGTTCAGGGGGACCTAAAACAGATTCCATTCAAAACTCAAACTCGAAAATTTTGATGAAAACAATACTTTCTCCACATACTATGTTACTATGTTATGTATAGAGAAAGTAAAAATAATATCAATTGGGAAATTAGCTAGTAGACAGAAATTGTTCGCAGTGGCGCAAGTAGTTGGCCAACGGAATATGCCAATGTAACGTTACAGATGCCAACACGGATCTCATACTGCGATATGGCTGTAGATTTAAAGATGACAGCAATTCCAACCAATAATAAACCAAACAAATAGGTTATCCGATCTTTTATAATTAATTATCTTAGATCTCTCTTTCTTTAATATCACAGAATTTAAACAACATTTTAAAAAGTGATTTACATTCAGACCAGGATCCAAAAATGTGAATAAGCAATACATCTGTATGATTTGTAAATTGTAAGAAATGAAAATCCAAGCATGTTCAATTTGTTTCATCCTTGTTAAATCTTGATTTACGAATATTACATAACTTTTTGGAAGGAAAGGGGGATAACAAATGACATTTGAAGAGAGAACCAAGGACAAAAGGCCTGAGAGCTTATGGCATTCACATTCTAAAATGGTACACAGGCTGAGTTCTGTTAAAAGTAGGGATGGACGAGTCCCGAAATTTTGGAAAATTTTGGGGGGAAAAATATTCCCGATTTTCGGGACGGGATTAGGACCGATCTTTGGCAATTTTGCCGATTCGCGAGTGACGATGACGCTGCTATCGTGAGAGATGTTCACGATAGTTCCGCAAACGCAGGAGGCAAAGTCGTTTCGACGATCGCGCGGTGACCGTGGAGTCATACCGACGATCGCGCCGTGACCGCGGATTCATACCAACGATCACGCCGTGACCGTGAGTCATACCAACGATCACGCCGTGACCGTGAGTCATACTGACGATCATGCTGTGACTGTGAGTCATACCGATGATCACCTCGTGACCGCGGTCATTTTGACAATTGTACAGTTATTGTACAGTACACGATCGCACCGTGACCGGGAATCACAAGTTTCAATAGGTACCTGTAAATTGTTACCCATTTTTTTTTTTTTTTTTTATAGATCAGTGCAACAAACGGTTAACATTTATTTTGTTTGTCTTTTTTGGTAACCGCAATATTCAAGACTTTCTTTTTACGCACAGGAAAAAATCCCGTACCATCCCGTCCCGAAAATTGGGAAGGAAATAAAAATCCCGTCCTGTCCCGAACTAAAAATTCAATCCCGTCCATCCCTAGTTAAAAGCAATACTGTAATGACAACAAAAGGAATCTTTTGATTTTGCGATGTTATTGAGGTTTTGAGATTGGACTTGTTTTACTCATTACCAGACAATCAATCAATCAATCAAATCATTCTTCATTCATCATACACAAAGAACATGCATTGAATAGATTTAAATAACTTATATGCTATAAATACATCTAAACAAATATACATAATGCTTATATACATTTAGTTTCTGGGCTAAAATAAATTTAAAAGTAAAAAGTATTCTTTTAAACATGGTAAAAATTCAAACCGTTCCCCTAATTTTGTTATGGAACTCAATTTGAAATCATGAAGGCCTACCAAAACTAATTTAATTTTTTTTTCAAGTCTTTTAATGAATAAAATGGAAATTGGATTAACAAATATTTCAGCATTCTTTTAAATTTATTTAAATTTTCTTCCCTCTTTATCAAAGCCGGTAAGTGTTGTAAAAATGTTAATCCTAAATAGCTAGTTTTCTTTTAAAAAAATTCCAGTCTATGTCTGGGTAAGTTAATTTAGAAACTAGTGTTATAGTCACCAGAATTGCTTGAAGTTGATGATGATTGAATTCGTTTTGCATAAACGGATGTTTAAAAAATATACAGATTACATACTGTTAGGATTTTTAATACAGTAAAATATCTCTTAGCTGAAACTCTTTTTTGCAGTTTCAACATTACACAAATAGTCGTTTTTGGTTTGATAAGAATATAATCCAAATTGGTCTTTGATGTTGTTCCATAAGATATGTGACTATGCAATATTAAAAAATATATTGTCCTCAAGGTGTCTATGCTGCAGATCCGAGACATCTGCCTCAAAGCGAAAATACCAGAAGTCAATTTTTTAACAACATGTTTAACATGACTATTCCAAGTAAGATTTTCATCGACTATTAATCCAAGAAATTTAGTTTGTTCGACATGTTCTATCCTATAATTTTTATAAAAATTTGGTTTCAAATTTTGTTTTCAATTGTTTGGTTGACAAAGATATAAAATTTGATTTCTTTGTATTTATAAGATTTTTTCTTTTAAAAATGCATGAGTAATCGGAAGATTTTTTGAAGATGTTACAATTTTAGAATCAGAATTTCTAGTAAGTGGTATATTAGATTCATCAGTGTACAGACACATGGACCCGTCACTCCCAGGAACTAGTCCCAGGCAAGCCTTTAATATAACAAAGAAGTAGTAGAGGGCCCAGGATCAATCCCTGGGGGACTCCATATCGCAGCGTTCAATGCTGAGATTGAATTTTTTCAATATCATTTTATTATTATGTTCTATAATGTTGTCCACTTCAACAAACTGGTGCCTACTTTGAATATAGGATTCAAACCATTTGAGTTCTTTACCACTGAATCCAAGTTCATTTAAAACTTATTTATTTATTGTGTGACACACTGTCAAAGGCTTTACTGAGATCTAAGAATATTCCAACGACAATCATTGTCATGTTCTAGTAGAACCTCGCTAATCCGACCTCCGATGGTCCGACTCCTCGCTTGTTCAGACCGTGCCGCCAACACAATAGGCTTCCGCTAATATAACCTCATTGTCCAAAAAAAAATAACTAGAAAACTTTATAAATTGGGTAATCATGACAACTTTAGTAGCCTGTAATTGGATGATCGGTAACCATGGAGACTTGTTGAATGGGTGGACGAAGAAAAACTCAAGAAAGAATAAAAACCAAGTGAAAGAAAAAGCAATGTCATTGTTATCTCTATGGGTGTATTGTACGGGTGTGTTGTTAAACTATAAATAGGCTACTATTATTTTATACTTTTTTATTTGTTATCCAATGTTTTATTGACATTCTTCTGACTTGAAACAGCCTAGTAGTAGCCTATGACTAGCTAGGTTACTAGACTTTCTAATGTTCTGTTCTTTATATCGCTGTAGGCCTACAGTGTTTGGCAATTGGTTTATTTGAGTAAAAAAGTTTGAAACAGCTGTGATTTTAAACGTTACAGTTTTTATAACTGAACCAAGCTTAATGACATAACATAATTATCATGAATGCGCAATAGCCTACTTATTGTCATTTTATGATGTAATATAATGCAAAATATCAAATTTAAGTCCATTTATACACTTAGTATTAGGCATTGTTTATGAGTTAGAAATAACCGTTAAATGTCATGTTGGATTAACCGTGGTGATCAGTTATCCGTGGTCTATTCAAAATACAGTTTTACTAAATTTTTATTGACATAAAAACGTTTCTCTGATAGTCTAACCTTTTTGCTATTCAGACCATGCTCCCCGTCCTGTAGGTGACGGATTAGCAAGGTTCTGCTGTATTTCAAATATAAAAAAATACACTTTATTCATTATGCTCTTGTACATTACACTTTTCATTGGAACACACAAACCATGATTATTATTAAAGAGTAAATAATTACCCCCATCCAAAGTCACCAGATGAGGCTGATGTGTTTCCTGCATCAATCTTCCGGCCTTTTCTGCCCTGAGTGTATTTATGGCATCCATCATTTGTTTCATCTTATCAGTCGTATAGTCAAGACGACCCTGCATAAACAACTTTATGTCAAAAAGTGGCTGAAATACTTTGTAAAAGAAAACTAGTGATTAAATTCACTACACACTACACAAACAATCCAAGTACTAAGATGTGAAGAGTGTTCGCTGCCTGAAAACATCAATGTTATGTTACACTTGTCACATCACCATAACAAAACTCGACTCCAAAAAGCTCCAAGCTCACGAGTTTTCTGTGAACTCAACTCAACTCATAAATGTCTAGTTATTATGGTAAAGAAGTAGAAACAAAACAGTTTGTTTAATTTAAACATGTGATACAATGGTGTTATGCAATTTAAGGAAGAGAAGAGGAAGGTGTGGGAAAATGTTTGGTGAAGCCTTTAAAGACAATCTGTATTGTATAGAGTTTCAACAAAACGACTGAGAAATAACATAAGAAAAACTATAGTTTATTTAACATATAAGAAGAAAAGCTATAGTTTATTTTAGTTTTAAATCTGTTTAATACAGGTTTAATAATTAGCAATGTGCCATAACATTTAATAGTGATGGTCGGATCCGGATATCGGACTACCGGATCCGCTGGATCTGAGCTAGAACCGACGCCCAATGGGATCCAGGGCTGGATCCGGTTTTTAATTTATTATTGAAATTGTTTTTAATTTTTAAAAGAAAATTTTAAATTTTTTTACAAAACGTTCTTTATAAAGTACAATTCATACACGAACAGGTGTTTCGTCATAGTAATGTATTTTAAAATATAATTAATAATTGAAAAAATTTAAATAAACTTCATATATCTATAGGTATTCATATGTATACAAGGCTATTATGTGTCCATGTACAAGACTGTCAGTGTCAATATACAAGACTATCTGTGTCCATGTTGTACATGACTAACAGTGTCGAAATACAAGACTATCTGTGTCCATATACAAGACTATTATGTATCCATGTACAAGACTGTCAGTGTCCATATACAAGACTATTATGTGTCCATGTACAAGACTATTATGTGTCCATATACAAGACTATTATATATCCATATACAAGACTATTATGTGTCCATATACAAGACTATTATGTATCCATGTACAAGACTGTCAGTGTCCATATACAAGACTATTATGTGTCCATGTACAAGACTGTCAGTGTCAATATACAAGACTATCTGTGTCCATATTGTACAAGACTATCTGTGTCCATATACAAGACTGTCAGTGTCCATATACAAGACTGTCAGTGTCCAAATACAAGACTATTATGTGTCCATGTACAAGACTGTCGGTGTCAATATACAAGACTATCTTTGTCCATGTTGTACATGACTAAAAGTGTCGAATTACATGACTATCTGTGTCCATATTGTACAAGACTATCTGTGTCCATATACAAGACTATTATGTGTCCATGTACAAGACTGTCAGTGTCAATATACAAAACTATCTGTGTCCATGTTGTACATGACTAACAGTGTCGAAATACAAGACTATCTGTGTCCGTATACAAGACTGTCAGTGTCCATGTACAAGACTATCTGTGTCCATATACAAGACTATTATGTGTCCATGTACAAGACTGTCAGTGTCAATATACAAAACTATCTGTGTCCATGTTGTACATGACTAACAGTTTCGAAATACAAGACTATCTGTGTCCGTATACAAGACTGTCAGTGTCCATGTACAAGACTATCTGTGTCCATATACAAGACTATTATGTGTCCATGTACAAGACTGTCAGTGTCAATATACAAAACTATCTGTGTCCATGTTGTACATGACTAACAGTGTCGAAATACAAGACTATCTGTGTCCATGTACAAGACTGTCAGTGTCCATATACAAGACTATTATGTATCCATGTACAAGACTGTCAGTGTCCATATACAAGACTATTATGTGTCCATGTACAAGACTGTCAGTGTCCATATACAAGACTATTATGTATCCATGTACAAGACTGTCAGTGTCCATATACAAGACTATTATGTGTCCATGTACAAGACTGTCAGTGTCAATATACAAAACTATCTGTGTCCATGTTGTACATGACTAACAGTGTCGAAATACAAGACTATCTGTGTCCATGTACAAGACTGTCAGTGTCCATATACAAGACTATTATGTATCCATGTACAAGACTGTCAGTGTCCATATACAAGACTATTATGTGTCCATGTACAAGACTGTCAGTGTCAATATACAAAACTATCTGTGTCCATGTTGTACATGACTAACAGTGTCGAAATACAAGACTATCTGTGTCCGTATACAAGACTGTCAGTGTCCATGTACAAGACTGTCAGTGTCCATATACAAGACTATTATGTATCCATGTACAAGACTGTCAGTGTCAATTTACAAGACTATCTGTGTCCATATTGTACAAGACTTTCTGTGTCCATATACAAGACTGTGTCCATCTTATCTTATCTTATCTTATCTAACAGGGGCAGGTCAAGACCTTGAAGCACTTCATCCGAAATCGAATTATTGCGCACCCCAGACAATTGTTTTCTTGTTGACCTTACAAATTAAGGTGTCCAATAAATGCCTGTAGCTTCCCGATAAGTTCATCCTCAGGAAGATATCTTCCTCTAGCCAGATTACCAAGCGTTGTCATTCTAGCATCAGAGAGCTCGTTACAATCAAAGAGTAAGTGATCGGCTGTCTCTTCTGACCTATCACAGTGCCTACAGACAGGGCCGGTTCTAGGAATTTTTCAGAGTTAAGCGAACACCCGAATCAGCGCCACTTAGAATCCCCCCACCACCCCACCCACAACCCATGAACATTACTTAACTCTATTTGTGAATTTTTTCTCAAAGATTTTGGTAAGAACTTTTTTATAAGTTTAGGTTAGAAGAATACTTGCAATAAAAGACTGTTTATTATTCCCAGGAATTTAACATTTTTACACTTTTACTCATCGTATCCATTAAACAAAAACAGGCCGTAATGCTCGTCAAGCATGACGTCACGATAGAGAGAGAGAGAGAGAGAGAGAGAGAGAGAAATTCTTTATTTACAAATTATTTTGCAGCATTACATGGGTCAAATAAAAATATCACATGGGTCACAATGACCTGTGCGTGATAGAGTCCTATATTTGGCTGCTTAAAATCAAAATAAAAGTTCTTCACACTTCACATAACAAAAAAAAAAATAGAACACTAACTTAGTAAAATAAGCATAACAATTAATTTACTATACAATTATAATTATATAAAAAAAACTGTGAAACCTAACAACCATATGCAAATGTAACTCAATAGGCTCATTGCTTGCATTACATCCAATACCTGTTTACCAATACACATTAATATTTTTTCCTTCGATTCCCAATTTTACTGAGGCGTGGATTCCGTCAAGTAAGAGTGCTGTAGAAAGTACAATAGATAGTCCAGTTATCAGTTGGTTAAGTCTAAACGAGATATTCTGGGCCGATAAGCGACTCTGTATTGTCGAGGCCTATCTCCATCAGCCAATTAGCGATAACCCTCTTATATACACTCAGTGACACTCGCAGGTCCCTAATTTCTGGAGGAATATTACGCAGCAAGCAATTAGCAATGTAAAAGGAATTTGTTAAATTGATTGATTTGAAAACTCTTGGGACCCGTAATCCCATCATCACCGAGTTTCTGGTATGGTAGTTATGAACTACGGGCGATGCGATAAGGTCTAAATGAATGTATGAATAAGCTAATAAATCTTTAACATATAGCTGCCTTATTGATAAAAGCTGAGATTCTTTGAACAGATGATCAGTAGAATAACGTCTCGGTTTTCTTAAAGCAGCTTTAATTATTGATTTTTGAATTACGAACAAAGGTTCAATTACCGATGAATAAGCCCCTCCCCAAGCTATTAAACCATACTGCAGATGAGATTGAACGTATGCGTAATAAATTCTTTTAATTTCTTCATGTCTTAAAATTTGACCCAATTGGTGAAAAACAAAAATCATTTTTCTAAGTTTGTTTTTTAAAAAATGTATATGACTTTCCCATTTCAATTTAGAATCCATTATAATGCCCAGGTATTTATACTGCGACACAGTCTCAATAATTTGGCAGTTGCAATCGCTGCCTGCGGTGCCACATGAGTGCAAGGTTAGTCTGAGTTCGGCGGGCGGCTCGCTAGCGGGACGAAGTGCGATAGGCAAACATTTTGTTTTACCGACATTCATTGTTAAAATGTTTTCTGAGAACCATCTTTTTAAAATTTGTAATTCTGATGATGCAATATTAAAAACCTCTTCCCAAGTACGTGCCCTAAAGATTACCGCTGTGTCATCTGCAAACAAGAATATTTTTCCAGAAATATTAATTTTATCTATGTTATTTATGTAAATTAAAAATAGTAAAGGCCCCATAGTAGAACCTTGAATAATTCCAAAATCTACATTCATTTGATCACTAATAACGTTATTAATTGATACTACTTGAGTCCTATTGCTTAAATAACTTTTAAACCATGCCAGGGCAAAACCCCTTACACCCAAATATTCTAATTTTTTGAACAGAATTTTCCTATCAATAGAGTCAAACGCTTTAGCAAGATCTATGAATGCAATTAGTATTTTTTCATTTCTATTCACTGACTCGATTAAAGTTTTATTGATAAGAAATAGAGCATCAGTAGTATTTTTACCTTTTCTAAACCCAAACTGTTGGTCTGATAAAATTCCATGTTCATCCAAATAATTTTGAAGTTGAATTTTGACACATTTCTCTAACACTTTAGATAATACACTTAACAATGAGATTGGTCTATAATTATTTTTGTCATTTTTTTGCCCGGACTTATAAAGAGGAATTACCTTAGCTATTTTAAATCTGTTTGGAAAAATGCCTGAAGTAATACTCAAGTTAATAAGAAGTTTGAGTGGTAGTAAAATGTCTTGCAGATGATTTTTTAATATTTTGGCTGGAAATTCATCGAACCCGGGAGCAGAACCGCCTCGCATTTCCCTCACACACTCAGCCAACTGACTGTCAGAGACAGGCTCCAGTCGCAGTT